CTGGCAGATGAGGTAGGAGCTGCTGTGTTGGTTCGGTTGGTGCTGAGGCCTTGGGGCTTGGGAGGGGGAGCTACAGGCAGGAGGTGGCTGCCTGGGTTTGAGATGTCACTGTGGCTGGAGGGGACTGGCAGAGTCGGGGTGATAGAGATGTGGGAAGTAACAAAGATGAGAAGAACAAAGAATAACTTCCCTTCCAGTTTGGGTTTGCTGAGTCTGGGAGGCAGGGCAGAGCCTGGGTTTGACCACTAACCTCTTCTTTCTGATCTGTGTCACGCCAGGAGGAAATAACTGAGGATGACATAGAGGATGGCTTCAAGAACATGTTCCAGCAGCTGGCAGGGGAGGTGGGTATGGCTGCGCTGAGTTCTGAGGGCCCCCAACCTGGGGAGGGGACAGAACCCCTGGCCATGAGAGCTCCAGCCCACCCCACACTCACTCAGGCCCATCCTGCAAACGTGTCCGTCTCTGCTGCAGCTCAGCTCAGCTGCTCCCAGGGGTGGTGTGACGGGAGCAGATTTTGGGAAGGGGCATCCAGCTGTGATCCAAACTCTTCTGGGCATGCAGGAAATGCAACAGCACCCTGATGTCTTGTGACTAAGTCAGAGATGTTTAGGCAAGAGGGGGGAAATGGCCACAAGAGGGGTGAAGAGCAGGCAAAGGATGCTGCTAATTCTGCTTCTGCTGCAGGACATGGAAATCAGCGTCTTTGAGCTCCGGACTATTCTGAACAGAGTCATTGCTAGACGTAAGCGCTGCCCTCCCCAGCCCCTTTTCCTGCAGCCCAGGCCTGCTCAGCAGGTCGGCTTTTGATGCATGTGCTCAACCTCCTCCTTCCTCCTCAGACAAAGATCTGAAGACAGATGGATTCAGCCTGGACTCCTGCCGCAACATGGTCAACCTGATGGATGTATCCTCTTGGTGCTGCGGGCAGGGTCCACAGCTTCCCTGTTGCTCAGCCTGCCGGCAGCAAAACTCCACAGGAGCTGGGGCTCAGCTCCACAGCCATGCCGAGACTGTTCAACCAAGGGAAGGAAGGATGGAAGGGAGGGGGTCCTTGTGGCTTCAGGGCCACTTGCCCTACACCCCTGGGCTTTAGCAGCAGGTTTTTTTGGAAAGGGCTGTCAGTTCACCTGCTTGCTTTGGGGCCTGGTTCTGCTGCCAGAAGCCCAACCCAGCCTCACTCACACTTTCAACCCTTCTGGGAGGAAGCTCCCTGTGCTTCCCTTCCCCACAGGCTGCCCAGGCTGACATGCCGTGATGCCACCCAGCCTTCGAGGCACTCCTCAAAGGGAATGGGGGCTGCTGTGCTTCTTTCCCCCCAAACCATCCTGTCCAGTGGTTGAGGATGAGAGGTGTAAAGCAACAGGAGCTATGGCCTGTGTCCCTGCTTGCACAATGACATGCGGCTGAGGGATCAGATGAGGGTAGAAGAGCACCTCTGAGCCCTTCACCAGCCTGGCCCTGCAGTATCCCCTTTTGCTGCAGGCCAGCCCAGTTTTGCTCCAGGGACAACAGAGCAATGTGTTTCCTACAGCAGCAGCACAGCTGCTCCGGCAGAGTGGCATGGCAGCTAGTTTAAATGTTTCACTTTTCCTGCAGGCTCTGATCTTGCTGATGCTGTAGGACAGAGAGGAAAAGTTGGGGGGTAAATTAGGCAGGGCAAGCGTGGCCAGGCTGTTGACTCCTCAGGTGGCTGGGATCTGATGGTTTTGCCTTTATGCCACCCACTGCTCTGGCTGCTTTCTCCTTGACCCTCTTCTTTCAAGAAAGACGGCAGTGCCCGCCTTGGGCTGGTGGAGTTCCAGATCCTGTGGAACAAGATCCGGAGCTGGCTGGTGAGGAGCAGGGGACATGGCTCACAGCACAGGGGTAGCACCCCTCCTGGGGCAGCAGGGTGAGGGAACAGCCAGGCTGGAGGCCACATGAGAGCCTGTCCTTCCCATCTTCTGTGATGTTTTTGCAGATGATCTTCCGCCAGCATGACCTGGATAAGTCGGGCACCATGAGCTCCTATGAGATGCGCATGGCTCTGGAGTCAGCCGGTAGGTCTGGAGAAGGATGAGGCTGGGCTGGGAGCTGGGGAAGGGGCTCCTGCTTGTCAGAGCCCCGTCCTAGGTAGCTCGAGAAGAGTGAAACCAGCCTGTATTGTGTGCTTGGAACCAACCTGTTGTGGTAGTGAGTTGTAGCCCGTGTCTGCACCAGGCTCTTTCCACCCCAGCTGGGCCAAGTGCTGGAGCCTCAGAGTTAGGGACACACACAGGGTGGTCCCAGTCTCTGTCTTCCTCTGACCTGCAGGGTCTCATCTTGGCAAAGCAGAGGCCTTGGGTGGATCAGTCAGCTAACTAGTCATATGGCTTTAGGGAGAGTGTCCCCTCTTCCTGCTGAGGCTGGACACAGTGCCCTTCCTTGGGTGGGTTGGTGGCCCCTTCAGGTGGGGGCATGGACTTTCATTGTTACACCCTCCTCTCCTGCCTACTTGGGGTACTGACTGCTCTCTGCATTGCAGGTTTCAAGCTGAACAACAAGCTGCATCAGGTGGTGGTGGCTCGCTATGCAGACACTGACATGGGTGTGGACTTTGACAACTTTGTCTGCTGCCTCGTGAAGCTGGAGGCCATGTTCAGTGAGTGGTGGCCCCGGGGCAGGGTGGGCAGGCACAGAGGAATGTGTTTCTCATCTTGCTCTTGTGCCCCTGCAGGATTCTTCCGCAGCATGGACCCCGATGGCACTGGCACCGCTGTCATGAACCTTACTGAGGTGAGAGCTCAGCTCAGTGGGAGGTGGGGTGGGAGACAAGGGGACAAGGCGTTAGGGTGAACAAGGCCCTTAGAGTGGGTGGTAGAAAGCACTCCAGGCCCTTTGGTAGGGAAAGAACCCATAAGATCAAGATGAGAAAACAGGATTGCTGCAAGCTCCGCGTTTCTTGGAGGGCTGTCAAAGTTGACACGTGAGGGCATATCAGAAGTGCACCAGCCCCTTCTCATCCCTTCTCCCTCTCATTCCCAGTGGCTGCTGCTGACGATGTGCGGCTAGGAGCCACGACAAATCCGCGCTGTGGCTGGGACACCCTGACGGGCCAGGCCCCCTCCAAGTGCCTCCCCTTGGATCTGTGGACACAGGATACTCTTTCCCCCTCGCTCCATCCCATGCTGAGCCACCAGCCCTGCCTCCCAGCAAGCCTCACGCCACTCTCGCTGGTGGACCAGGGTCAAGGCAGGCAGGGGATGCCCTTCTTCTCTTCTAGGCTGTGCTTCTTTCTGCTCCTTCCTCTCTCCCCACCCCAGAACAGGAGGAGGGCAAGCAGTTTGGGGTACCCATGCATCCCTGCACTGAGCTTGGTGGGAGTGAAGGAGCAGGCTGGGGGCTGGCTGCAGAGCAGGGAGAGGCAGGAGCTGCAGGGGAAAGAGGGGGGGTACTCCAGTGCTATCCCATCCCCACTGGCATGCATTGACTGTCTCTGCACATGCCTGAGAGCATCAGCAGGTACTGCCTTCCTCAGGCAGAGGCAGCAGGTTCGCAGCGAGCCAGAGTGGCCTTCTGGGAGGAAGAGCCATACTCTTCTTGAAGCCCTTGCACTGCGCTCATCACCAAGCATGACCAAAGCGTGGAGCCCACTGGCTCTTTCTGCGTGGCCTTCAACACATCCCTCCCACCTTCATGCCCCTGCCTTTGCCCCACCACTGGGTCAAGTTCTGCAACTTAAGCACTGAATGTCTGGGGGCTCCCCCGCCACATGAACATGTGCCACCCTGTAGTGCAGCGAAAGCTTCTCTATTCTGCGTGAGCATAGCAATGCCACCACCACAGCTTGACCTCCCTCCCATCCCTGGGAGCTCCTGGGGCATCCACTGCCCCTGCTTATGACCCACAGCAGGGCTGGGGGGTTGCCAGCACCCGAGAGCTGCTGCCTTCCCCCAGAGAGGAGGGGGTGGTGGTTTGGGGGGCTGTTCTGCATACAGATTTTTTTCCCCTCCCTTTCCCTCACCCTCTCACACTAGAACACTCTCTTCTTCCTGTGGGCTCCTTTGCCCAGTGCAGATGGACTTCAGTGCCAACATATTTGCACTTCTCTGCACTCCTCCACTCCCCTTCTTCTGGGGTAACAGGGTGGCTCCAGCTTGGCAGTGGGTGACAGCCCATCCTTTGCGCTGCAGATGCAGACAGGCAGGCAGTTAGCTTCCCCCAGACACCTGTTGTCGCTGGAGGATGTGCCTGCAGCAAGAACCACTGCTGCCCGCCCGGCAGCTCCGCTTCCTCACCCCGCTCACTGCGCACTCCGGGAATAAACTGAGATCTGTTGGACATGTGGCCCAGGCAGTGACTTGAGCGTCGCATCCTCCCTCCACTTGCCATGGTCTGGGCTGGGGAGATGAGATGCGGAGCCAAGCCCAAGGCATGCTGCTTGCCCAGTCTGGGGTAGAGGAGCACCACCAGGTACAGGTCTTGCTGTGGGGATGGAGGGGTCCATATCCCCTAGGATTTTATAAAACTCACCTCTTCTTGCAGGGAGGTTCTAACGCCAACACAAAGGGGCAGCACCATGTGCTAAGTGTAAGGAAGCACTGCTCTTTAAGTGAGAGCAAGCAGCATGCTGTTAGCGGGGCTGTTCAGTTATCCCAGGGATTTTTCAAGCCAGTGCTTGGTCCCTGGTGGAGGTGGGAGGAGTGTGTTAGTGCTGGGCTGGGATGGTGACCAGGGCACCTTTACCCCAGCCTGTGCCCCAGGAAAGTGGGTGCAGCCACGGTGTCCCAAAGGCCTCCCCAGGGCACCACTGAGTGCCTCTGCCATGCAAGTGGCTGAAGCAGTTTAAACTTGGCATGCCCCCACCTTGCCAGCGACTGAAGGAGGGTGGATTAACATTGGTCATGGTTTGCTGTCCCAGCTGGCTCCTTGCCACAAGGTCTCCTCTGCTAGTAGCAGAGCCGGGGTCTGCTCTTAAAGAAAGGAGTCTTGGGGAGGGGAAAGAGGGTCCGCTTGGATACAATGGAGTTAACCGTGGAATGGGTGGGAGTGGAGGGCAGCCTGGAGCTCTGGACCCTGGAAGGGACCACATGAGGTATGTGACCCTGGGTAGGAGCTGTGGGTGGTCAGTGCTTTCTCCTGCTTTGAAGTCATGCAGGCTTCAGCTGGAGGCAAAAATTTTCCAGGAAAGTGACAGTGGAGGACTGGGTAGTGGGACTTTTCACTTTGTGGCTCGGAGCAGGACTCAGTCAGCGTGTTCATCCTGCCCCTTACTGAAAGCCCAGCAGGGCACCACAGCCCAGATGGTCCCAGAGGTGCTCAGCATTTGGAAGAGGAGTGCTCTTGTGCACTTTAACCTTCCTGGCATCTTAATATCCCTCATGTGGGTGCCTTCTGTGCCAGTCTAGCTCTCTGGGACTGGTCTCCCCTCAGCACCCAGCTCTGGGGCAAGCCAACCTGGATGAGAGCATGGAGGGTTACTGAAGTGCAACTGTAGGAGGAAGCAGTCCCCCATCTGCCTCCCCAGGCTGCCCTCCAGAGGCTCTGCAGGGCTGGATGGAGGTGGGCTACTTGTGCTTGGCTCTTGGCTATCTGTGAACTGAGCTGCCCCCCGTGGGGTGGGAGTACCTTGCAGCTTGCCAGCCTGGGCTCCCTGCTCCTCCGTGCAACTCCAAAGCCCCTGGGAAACAAAGGCTCAGGTGAGGACAGGACACAGGGGCAAGCAAGCAGAGCTGTCATCACTGTCCCAGCTGCAGGGCCTCGTCACACACACAGAGGCTCGATTGTAGGGCAGGGTGACACCCTGGCTTTGGGATGACAGGTGCCCCCAGGCATAGCCTTACCAGAAGCCCCTTCCCTCCCTCCTCCCTCTGGGCGCCAGCTGGCAGATCCCCTCCCTCGTTGGCCCCAGCAGCTGGCAGACTGGTGTCGTCAGGGGGTCCGCAGGCAGGGGGGGTCCCCGGCTGTCAGCTAAAGCCACAAAGAGTAGCCTGGCTCATCCCCCTCATTGCAAATGGAACAAGGAGGAGGCCCAGCAGAGTCCTTAAATGCTGGCATAAGGTGAGGAACAAGAGGAGCTGGGGGCCAGATGTGGCCAAAACTGCTATTAGCTTTGAGTTTGTCTCACGATGGGCACCAGCCAGCCCACTCCCGCCTTTCCCATGCCTACTCCACATGTCTGCCTTGGGTGGGAGTGCACAAGGTGGGCAGGCAGCACCCATGGGTGCACAGCACCACTACTCCTGCACTCCAGCATCATGGCATCTCTTCTCACGCCCTGTGCCCTAGCTTCCTGCAGCCCAGCACTGCCTGCCCATCCTGGAGTACCCCCTCTCCCACCTGCTCATGTCCATCCTCCAGGCATGGTGGTGAGGCAGGACCGCAGCCTGTCCCCACCTGGCCCCACCAGCTGCCCCAGCAGCCGGGCTCTGGCCCTTTCTCCCCCTCGGCTGTGCTTTGCTCTGCCCCAGGGCTGTGGCTGCAGGAATGTCAGTCCCGTGGCACAAGGGGCCTTTGTGTGAGGGGCCGTGGCCCAGATCAGCATCCTGAGCCAGGGCTGGAGAAAGCCACAGCTGAGGGCACGTGCGTGGACAACAGCTGCCACCAGCATGGCCTCGCAGCTCCCGGCCAGGCTCAGCGGTGTCCCTGCTGCTGCAAGGGCTGTCGGGGAGGAAAACGCCCTCCCCATCCTCACCCCTCCAGCACCAGCAGCCAGGTGCTGGGAGCATCCTGCAGTCACCACTGGCCTGGGCAGCAGCACCAACACCAGCGCAGAGCTGGCACCTCCTTGGCGAGCCTCGGCACCCGTGCCAGGGGATGCCATGGCTTCAGCCACCCTGCAAGGGGACCGGGGGAGGGTTGGGGGCACATGGTGGGGGCTAAGAGCACCGGGAAGCAGCTGCTGGATTTGGCCTTTTTCAACAGCTGCCATCTCAGCGCCAGCAACAGGGAATGTGCTTGGGCCGGGGCTTTCCAGGGCCTGGCCATGGTGTGTTAAGCAAACTATTTATAGTACTTACATCCCTCCCCAGCAGGCAATGGCTTGTGTTCCTCCTGCATGGGGCCGGGTGCTTGGGTGCCACCAGTGTTCCCACCACCAACACCCTCTGGGGTCCTTGCCAAATGCCTCAAAGGACAGACTCTCGGCTGCCTCTCATCCTCCTCCCCCACCATTTCCGTTAGCTCCCAGTGCTATGCCCAGAGCAAGATTTGCAGCAAATCTCGCATACCTTGTGGAAGAGATCCCTGAGGGCCATGCCCTTCTCCCCAGCATCCCTGCTCCCTGCTCAATCCTCTGGACTCTTAACCGTGCAACAGCCGCTTTAAGCATTGGCAGGTGCCAACGGTCGCTCTGTCCCCTGCACCTGCCTCTGAGGTAACATGAGGGTCTTGGCCTCCAGCGAAGCAGTGAGATGCTGGCTTAGGAGCAGGCTTAGGTGATGGCAGGTTGCTCATCAGGCAAAGGCCAGGGATCTGACTCACTCACAAAGCCCATGCCAGCTTTGTCAGCTGATGGGACATAGGGCTGCTCAGAAGGCCTTCCCTTCACTGACGCGCAGCAGTGACCAAGATGGGTCATAGCAGGAGGTAGCACAGCCACGTCCTGCCCAAAGGCTGGCGTGTCCCACACCCCTGACCCTCCAACAGTGCCCCCCCCCGAGGTGGCCTCCCAGCATGCTGTCCTCTCCCAGAGGAGACAGAAGCACTGGCTGGCTCCAGCCCAGGGATCTGCCCAGAGGATGTGTGGGCTGTGAGCTCACCCCTGCTCAGTAGCAAGAAGGAAAGGGATGGGCTTTGGGACAGGATGGCAGGGAGAAGAGGACAGCTCTGCACAGTCCTGCCACCACCCTCAAGACAGCTCCTGCAGCTGGGATTCTTCCAGTCCTGCTCTCCCATCACTAGCAGTGCTCCATCCGCAGGCTTTCTGGGACCCCACATCCACCTCATGCCACACAGGGGCATCTCCTGCTCCTTGTTTGCTGATGTACAGCTGCTAACTGACCACCTGAGAGAAATAAGTGCTACAGAGGGGTATATGGTCCCTGTTTGGGCTCTGGAAGTGGATCCCAGCCCTCCCTTGCAATTAAATAGGGGATACTTGGTTATGCAATTGGTATGGTAAAGAAAATGGACACTTGAAAGGAAGCAGCCTCAAAAAGTACCTGGCAAAAAAGAAGCCAGCTACCTGGTGAGGAATTTTGAGCCCCTCGGTGAAGAGGGATGGATAGGCAAGAAAAAGAGTTGAGAGAGAGAGTGAGCAGTGGATGCAGGTGCAGAAAGTTGTCTGTGGATCAGAGAGGTTACAGCAAGACTCTACACGCCTTGGGCCAGGGAACACATGGGCACACAGGACTCCAGCATCCTAAATCTTACGTTTGGAATTAGATACTGGGGGGATTTTGTTTTCTCTCAAGGTTGCCTCCTCTTCCCAGCTCTGTGCCTGACTCACCAGAGCAGGGTTAAGTTCTTCCACCTCCTTGGGCTGTGCTTTGGCCCAACTGTGAAGGAAGGCTAAAGCCCCTGACATTCCAGATGGGGAAAGCAGCTCAGCAACATCTCTGCATTTTTGGCAGAGACAAAAATCTGCCTCTTTATGAGTCCCAAGAGCTTGGCAAATGAGCCCTGCCCCACTCTCCGCCCTGTGCTGGGTGTTGCAAGCATCTGGCTCTTACACCAAGATAATCCCTCCTGCTGTTACCTGTCCTTGCTGCCGGGGAAGGAGCAGGTTTCTGCAGAGGCCACACACTGAAGCCCCTTTGTTCCCAAGGGATTTTCCAGCCCCCCACACCTTGTGTATCTTTGCCATGTAGCGCTCAGACACAATGCCCCCAGGAATGTGCTGTAATACCTCTGCACACAGCTGGCACCTCCCTTTCCCCGTGGGACAGAAGGACAGGGTTCCCCAGCAAGCAGGGAAGGACAGGCAGTTCCCTTGGCTCAGGCACAGCTTTTCCTAGGAATAGGCAAGGCTTCCTGGGGAATAAGATCTCCGCTCCCCTCCATCACTGCCATCACTACCGCTGAGCTGGGACACTGCACTTTTCATCCCAGTGGTCCCCAGAGTGCTCAGAGGCAGGATGCTGCGAGGACTCTCTGCACAGGGAAGGGACATTCCCGCTGAGGTTGTACTGATGAGGAAATCGAGGCACTGAGCAATGCAGCCACTTACCCAGGGTCAGTTGCAGCACAGTGAACTCCGGAGTCACAAGAGCAGGCCAAGCACTGCACCCACTGCCTCCCTGATAAAAGGGGAGAAGCTCCCTCCCAGGGAAGTGTAAAACCCTGACAGAGCTGCAGCAAAGCTTTGGCTCCTGCTTGCTTCACCTGAACTCTTCCCACGCCCTGGTGTGGCTGTACTGAAGCCCACTGACCGCGGAAGACCCAGAGCCCGGGAGGCTCCGGGAGCCTCCGGGAGGCCAGTCCCAAGGGGCTGACGTCAGCTCTGGTCCTTGCAGCTCCCGGGCCTGGAGCTGAGCCGTTGAGGAGCCATTTCTGGTTTCAGCACATGGTGTCTCTGTGCTGAGGCACGGCCAGCCTGCTTTCCTCATCCATGGCTGGCTCCCCGAGAGGAATCCACGGGGCTGGGAAAGGTCACCCTGGCTGAACTAACCGCCCTTGGATGGGACTTGCTGGGCAGGGGACAGCTTCCATCAGGCAGGGTGGGAGACAGAGCAGTAGATTTCGGTCCCTTGTGACTGTTCATTCTCCTAAATTCTGCTTGAGTGGGAGCCAAGAGTAGGGCCTTGGCAGGGTTTTTAAAGGGAACAACAAGGGAAGGAAATGAAGCCAGACAGCCACCAGGAACAAAACAAAGGTTATTTGCAGGAAGCGGAAAGGCACAGACGTGACCCATGGACCTTCCTGCCGGCACCCTCACCCTGGCTAGCTTGTGCTCCCCTGGTCTGCAGGGCCCTGGCTGCTTGCCCCAAGCAGGCTCGGCTTGGGAACACAGCTGGAAAGTGTGGGACACTGGTTACCAGCCAGCTCGGGAGCCCCCGGCGGAGCCAGCTCACAGCTCTTCCCGCAGGGGAGTGCCCATCTGTTCCTTGGTGCTTCGTGCCCTGGGGCATCCCTTGCCGGCTCTCCTTGGCCGTCCTCCTAGTCTGCATTCCTGACCCCTTGCCGGAGCAGGATGACAATTGCTGGCACTGGTGGAGAATGACTGGCAAGCATATTTTGGACCCGGCTGCCTGCTCAGGGGCTTCAGCGAAGACTTGCAGTGAAACAGGACCCTGTCCTGCCAGCCCACATTTCTGTGGCGAGCAGATGTTATTCCTCCCTCACCCCCCTTCTTCCCCCGGCGCTGCCACCCTGACAAATGGGGTCCTGGGCTGAGGAGCAGTATCGCTTACAGGGAGCATGTGTCTGGCCTGGGAGGAGGGGGCATTTAAATGGGCAGCTGGGTTTTGTTGTTGTCTCTTGCTCTTGGAGCTGTTCCTGCCATTTGGGCTGGTGGCAGGTCCAGGTGGGGGGAGCTGAGCAGCACGGGCTCCTCCAAGAGAAAGGGCTGAGCAGTGTGTCCCGCAGCGGGAAGGATCCCAAGGAGGGTAAGAGTGACCAGGGGAAGAGGTCGTCCCCCCACAACTTCTCCCCCGAGCCTTGCCCAAGCAGCCCCCCCGTCCCCCGCTCCCAGCGAGGTGCGGGCGCCCCCGAGCACTGCGCTCGGGTGCTGCCTTCTCCCCACGCGCCCCAGGCAGCACTCGCTCCTGGGGTAGTTGCTTTTCCTCCTCTCCCCCCCTTCCCCCCTCCCCCCCCCACTTCTCTGTACCGTCAGGCTGGAGGGGCCGGAGGTTTTTGCGGGCGAGCTGGTGATAAGCTTTCGCTAAGGCTAAGGTGACCCAGAATTGCTCAGCCCCAGAGCCCGAGCTGTGGAGGCTCAGGTCTCGGGATGCCCGCGATGATGCAGTTGTGTGCGGGAAGCTGGGAACTTGCTCTCCCGTTTACCGGAGGGGAAACCGAGCCTGGGAGGAGGGAAGTGACTCATGAAGGGCCACACAGCCGTGCACAGCCAGGACAAGGCTAGGAGCAGGACCCAGGGCTCCTGGCACCCCACCCTCAAGGTCTGAGCACTAGCAGGCACGGGGGTCCAAATCTGTCAGTCCTGGAGGCCAGAAGACCCCCTGTGTGGCTGGGATGGGGCGGACGGCAGCTCAGAGACCTCGCCGTTGCTGGCAAGAACAGGCAGGAACTCCTTGAGATTTAACCCTGACCCACAACAGCTGGTTTCCCAGCGGGATAGCACTAGGGAGAGCCGCAACAGTCCACTGCCAAAACCCCCGTCTTCATTGCCAATAAAGGCCAGGCACGGCCTCACAAGAGCTGCCGCTTCCTCCGGCACGCAGGCGGCTCCTTGCTGGGCGGCTGGAGTCTGCGCAGCCCAAGGGGCATCGCAACGAGGACTCCCCTCTTTCATATAAGGTAGGGACACAAGCCGTGGGACTCTTTGGAGGCTGCCAGGATCAGCCCCTCCTGCCTGTACAGCATGGGGGGGTGGAGCAGGATGGGGAGGGGGGACAGGCTGCAAGATGGAGCTTGGAGAGGGAGAGAGAGAGCCAGGGTACGGGGGAAAGTGTATGTTGAGCAGGATGGCAGCTGGAGGAGAGGAGGGAACACTGTTCCCCAGACAGGGCACAGAAGGCCTTTCTCAAGTGTTGTGGCTGGGTCTGCCCCTTGCTCCCGCCCTGTAGGAATGGGGGACTCCTCCAGGATGGTCTGACCTCTTGCTTGTGGGAAGTCATTGGCACCTATTCTTCTATGTGAACATGGCGAGTCTGTGTGCTGCATTAATTTTTCTTTTAATGAGAGAAAGAAGCAGAGGAAGCAGCTGAGGCCACTATTCTTGTTTCACATGTGGATTTGCTCATGTTGTGAAGCCTGGGGTCTTGAGACTGGTTAGCACAGCACCTCATGGGTGCCAAGGAAGGCACCGCTCCTCCTCCCAGCTTGGGTTGATGTGAGAGTTTGTTGTTTTGCCCGAGCGAGGACCCAGCTCTGGACGGAGGGACTGGGGAGGGGGGGCAGTCCCGGTGGAGCAGCTCTGTAGGAAGGATGAAGTCATCCTTGTGCCAGCAGCCCTGTTTTCCTGCAGCTGACAGATCGTGAGATGGGGACTTTAAATAAAGCTCCTGTGTCACCTGCAGGCTTGTCTCCCACGGCTGAGCCCTGGGGGTGGCTCACAGGCTGCACCTGGCATGGGATACAGCTGCCCAAAAGAGGGGCTTCCTAGGGTCTTATGCCTCGTAAGCACTTCACATTTAGCTCCCCACCATTTCCTAAACGGGCATCCAAATCTCTTGGCCCTGTGGTCAGGCAGGGGGGTGCCTTCTCCTTCTGGCACCCTCCTGACAGACACACTGAGCTCTCACTGTGCCTGCCGGGCCGTGACTCAGCCTTGCTCCCTGCCCCCTCTTCCTGCTCAGAATAAGATGCCGTGGTATGGTGGTCGTCCTCTGCAGCCACCAGCTGGGCTTTGCAGGCCCCTGGAAAGGCCCGGTGGTGGTGTTCTCCCAGGGGTTATAGGGTTGTTGAGCTGTTTGTGGGGCTCTGAGCCTTTCTGGTGGCAGCAGCTCTAGTGCTGGGAGCTGCCATCCACATTGGGACTTTTCTGCAGTCCTGCAGAGTCAGTAGGAAAGCACTTTCTGTGCAGGGAGGGAGTCCTGCTTTGCCTGGGTTGGTTCCCCCTTAGACACTGTCCCCAGTCTGGAGTGGTCCAAGCAGTGGTGGGCTGGATTTGGCTCTGGCTGATCCACCACCCTGTTTGTTGCGAGGAGGGGGTGTCAGGGCAGCACATGTTGCCCACCACCTTGTGTTACCCTGTGCACGCTTGGACGGCTGTTACAGAGGCAGCAGGGTGGCCCCGGGAAGGGAGTGGAAGGAAGTCCTGAAATTGGCCTGCTGCATCCAACAGCCCAAGAAAAGATACATCTGTAGAGGATGAGAATGACCGCCCTTGTGCATGATCCAAGCAGTCCCACGCACCTCTCCTACTGGAGCTGGGCTCCATTAAGGATAAGGTAATGCGGAGTTCATCCTGGACCTCCTCTCTGTGCCTGGCTGCAGCTCCTGGACTTCCTTCCTCCTGCCTCTCCAGCTCCCACCCTGCCCCATCTGCTGGAGCCCTTCCCTGTTACCCAGCTGCCCCCTTAACTCTTGCCTCCCAGCCAGGCCGAGGACAGGGATCAGCAGCTGAGAGGATGCAAGTTTGTGCCAGTGGAGTTAATGTCCTCTTGTGCCCTCGCACCTTTGCCCTGCTGACCTGGAGGAGTGTAGGGGGTCTGAACCTGAGCATCCTTAGACAACCAGGAGCCAGTGACAACCAGATGGGTTTCTGCTGGCTTTGGAGACAATTCAAGGGGAAAAAGGTGGGAGGTGTGGAAGCTAAAATGGAGAAGGTGCTGAGCAAAGCAATCTTAGGAGCTCTTGCCACTTGCTGAACACATAGCAGGAGCTGTGGGTGAAGCTTGGAGGACCTGGCCTGGATGCATAAGGAGGGATGGGCAAGAGCTCAGGCAAGCAGTGTCTGAGTACCGCCAGCAGCCTCCTCTGGCCCAGGGCAGGGGAGGTGGGTGCACGCTTCTCTGTCTCCTCGACTGCTGGGACCGTTGAGCACTTCCAGGCTCATGACTGTCTCTTCCCATGTCTAGGTCTTTGTCAGGAAGGATGTGGATGCGGAGGACAAGCAGCAGGAGGCTGGGAGTCCCCGGGCTGGTGTTTTCTGCTCTCCAGTGGACAGAGGTTCCCCCTTCTATGCGGTAGGTCTCCCCTGCCCTCACCATTTATGAGTGTCTGACCCAGGGGCACAGCTTGGGGCTGAGCAAGTGAGGGCAGCTGCTGGTGGTCTACCTGGGCGCGGATGGAGCCTCACCACTTTAAATGAGCAAGGGGACAAGCTGGGCATGATGGGGTGAGGGGTCAGCCCCCAGGCCAGCACTCAGAGGTTTTAGCGCTTCCAGGGGAGCCGGATTACAGGCTCCTCCAGCCCAGGCTGTGTCAAGAGGCTGAAGATAGCAGAGTTGCGGGGGGGCCTGAGAATCTGTGTTGCTATTTAAAAAAAAAAAAAAAAAAAAAAAAAAAAAAAAAAAAAAAAAAGGCAGAGGATTTCTGTAGTTCTTGTGGTTAGGCAGAAAGGCTTTGAAAAGCAACTCCCATGCCGTCAGCAGGGCAGCACATGCCAGAGTGCTTAGAGAGCCTGAAACAGTTGCCCGAACCCCGCTGCTCCACAGGCTCCCAAGAGATTGCTCCCTAACTGGCTCGGGGGTGGCTGGGACCCCGCAGGGCAACTTGCACTCAGCCCCGTTGGGGAGGGAGGGCTGCCTCAGGCTGGCCCCAGTAGTAATTTCTGCCTAGTGAGAGAGTGTACCCTGCGCCTTCAGGTTTCTCCTGAGATGCTCAGACTCCTGTTTGCCAGCAGTTAGTGGGCAGTCAGGTCCCTGTCCCTGGGCAGCAGGGTGGGAAGTGAGTGCCCGGGGCAGCTGTGCCGTCCCCTGGGATGCCTGCAGCTGGGCCCGGGGCTGAGCTTGGAAGGAGGCCAGTGCTTTCACTGGCTGACCTTCGCCGTCACCCCCGGCAGAGCTGGAGCCCTGACAGACGGTTTCATCAGCGCCAGCCGACCACGAGGCTGAGTTCCGGGGAAGATACTGTGCTTTCTCCCCCCTGCCACTGCTCACTTGGGATGGGTGTCTCTGGGTGCCCTTGAAGGAGTGGCAGGCTGAGTTTATTGGGGACCTGCCCCATGGCCCGCCCCCATCCTGTTCCCTGGTGGTGTCCCCTGGAGTGACACTAAATAGATTCTGCAGACATGAATGCTCCTCGCAGGGATGTGCAGCCTCAGGCTGGACGGGTAGTGAGTGCCGCATCTGCCTCCAAAGTGAGCATGGGGACCAGCCCAAATGCTGGGTGCCATCCCACCAGCCTGGAGTGACCCAGGGCTGAGGGACAGCCTGGAAACTCTCTGCCAGGTCTGCAAAAGCCACCAGCATGGCCTTGGTAGAGGGGAGCTGTGCCTCGGGGTGCTGGTAGAGAACCCTAAATATGTCAGTGAAGGAGTGGGATCGGTGATGAGGCAGGCTGACATACTTTATCTGGGTTTCCAAAATGCTCCTGGGAGGTGATGGGGAGGGCTCCCTGGGACAGCATGCTGACCTCCCCCACTGCTGCCTGCCCCAGCTGGCAGGATCCCCAGTGTCATCACCCCGGAAAGAGACCCCCAAGGGCAAAGAGCCGGTCGTGGCGCCAAGATGCAGTGGGCGAAGCGGCACGGGAGCAGTCCCCCTCCTCGACCTGAGCCCTCTGGTAGCCCAGTTCAACCGGGAGATGATGCAGGTGAGGCCAGCCGAGGGGGCTGTGTGGGGAGCAGGGTGGGAGGACACCGGCAGCCTTTCATGTGAGCTGTGGGGTGGGGTGCATGGCGGGGAGGGCTGAACTCCCGGCCCCGAGCAGAGCCGTGGTTGTGGCATGAGATCATGTTTGGCCTCCTCTCCCTGGCTGTCGGCCCTGGGGAGAGGGGGTCAGCCCGCACCAGGGCCCTGCTTCCTCCCCACGTGTGCAAGCTCCTCCCATCCCCCATCCTCCTCCTCCTCCCAGCCCTTGTCCCTCCCCAGTGGCATGGGAATGGTGATGGCATGGGGGGGCTGCTTCCATGCCATACTTGGAGGTGGGGGGGGCGCACAGGCACAACAGGGAGCAGGGTGCAAGCAGAAATGCTATGTGCAGGGATGTACTGCACAGAGACCCCCTGGTATAGCCTGCCTGGGGCGGGGCTTGGCTTCTCCTGGTGGGCTGGGGCAGAAGCTGGAAGGAAGCAGGATGCTGCTTGCCTTCCCACCCCCATTGCCACCAATGCTGTCCTGAACCCCTTTGCTGGCCTGTTGGTGCTTGGAGCAAACGGGTTGTCAGCCAAAAGCGTGCCCTCCAGTCACTGTCGTGGCTTCAGAGAGGTTTGGGTCCCCAAACTGTGTCCTCAGGGCTCTGGCAGAAAGCACCCAGCCACTTGGCTCTTTCCATGTTGCAGGCAGAGAGCTGGGTGCGAGGCAAGCTGCGGGACCTGAAGGATGGCTGTGACCTCCAGGACTGGGAGGAGGTGGCTCAAACCCTACAGCGGGATATGAAGGATTTTGAGAACACGCTGATAAAGCTCAACCAGGTGAAGCCAGGTGGCGGCACAGCTCCCATTCCCTGCAGCACACATGTCCCTGGGCTCTCTGCAGTGGAGGGTTCTGGGAGCCCCTGATGCTGAGTGTGGGTCTCTTGGCCCCACAGATGGGTGAGCAACTGATGTGGCGGGCAAGCCCCAGCGCTGAGGCAGTGCGGCGGCAGCTGCTGGCCCTGCGGGACCAGTGGAAGCTCCTGAAGCAGACGGCCGCCAGCCAGAGCAAAGCCCTGGGGGGGCTGCGGAGCCTGCAGGACTTCAACAAGAAAGCTGAGCAGCTGGAGGCATGGATCAGGCACAAGGTGTGGGGTGCAGGGAGCGCGGTCTGGGGAGGGAGACAGGCTGGCTGTCCCCCTGCCTTCTCACACCCTCCCCTGGCCCAGGAGGAGAAGCCCTCCCTGGCAGCCCTCCTGCAGGAAAGCCCAGACAAGATCCAGCTCACCCGCCGCATTCTTGACTTGAAGCAGGTAAGAGGCTGCTGGGGGGGCTGCTGGCGTGCCGGGGACCCCAAACCCCACAAGGCTGGAGCATGGCACAGGTCCCTGAGGGAGGATGCTTGATGTCTATCTCTCTGCCTGGGCCAGGAAGAGCAGCAGTTCCAGAGTCTGCACAAAGAGCTGAATAGCCTGGCCCAGAAGCTGGAGAAACAAGGCAAAAGTGAGAGCAGGAGCATCTCAGCCCGGCGCAAGCACCTCAACAAAACGTGAGCAGAGGATGCATGGGCTGAGCAAGGGCGAGCCGGGCACAGGGAGCAGATGGACTGGAAAGGACCCCCTGATCCTCCCTCCTGCTTCCCCTTGCCCCAGCTCTGCAGAGCTCCCCATGAGGGGCATGAGCTGCCCGTCATTCCCCCCCTCCTTCCACCTGCACAGGTGGCTGCGGCTGCAGGGGACCCTGAAGGAGCACCATGAGGCTCTGCAGCTGGCTCTGGAGGTGGCTGCCTTCCTCCAGCAAGCAGATACCCTGCTCGGGGCCATCCACACCAAGGTACCAGCACTGGAGTCAGGGTCAGCCCGGTGCAAGGCTGTTGCATGGCCAGAGCGAAACTGGGTGGGCAGCACGCCACACTCATTCCCTGTGTGGGGGCTGCTGTGGTCCCAGTACCCTCAGCCTGGGGCTTGAGGAGAGAGCTGGGGGATGGAGACTGGTATAAGAAGGGGAGCCAGAGTGGCAAGCGCAGCTTTGCAGCATCCTTTTCTGCTGGACCTGAGGGCAGGGTCCCATCCTTCTCCCGCTGCTGACTGCAGCCTCTTCTTACAGCAGAGGAGCATCTGCGGTGTAGGGAAGCCAGGAGAGGGCGATCCATGCCGGGATCGGGATGTCAGGGACTTAGCCAGCCAGGTGATGGTAAGTGCAAGGCACTGTCTCATCCTCAGAGCCCTGGGGATGCATCCCAACAGAGGGGAGATGTGTGTCTTCCCAGGTCAGTGCTGGCACCAGCAGGGTTGGGGGCTTAGTGGGCACCCACAGCTGCGTGGGGTGGCCACAGCTGTGTGATGGTCAGGGGAGCCTCCCTGGGTGCAGTGAGGGACCAGACTTTGCACTCACTGCCTCTCCTGCCCCGGCTGAGCTGGTGGTGGGTAGCCATCATGCACTTGCACTATGGTCACAGTGGCTCGTCCCTGGCCAGTCTTGTCATCACTCCCTGGCTATTCTCTTTTGTCCAGATGCTGGATGTGACCGTGTCCCAGCTCCTCAGCCTGCAGCCCAGCCTGGCAGCCCGAGTCACCCCCAAGCACCGAGACATCAAGGAGAGCTGGGCACAGCTCCAGCAGGTGCTGAGGTAGGGCACAGCCTGTCAGGAGCCCCAGGGTCTCAACCCTGATCCCCCAGTGCTGGAGCCAGAGGACAGAGGAGAAAGACCTGGGTTGGTCCCTGGCAAGATCTCTGGGGTATCAGCTCCACTTAAGGTTGCTCTTTCCTCAATCCTCTGTGCTCCTGGACCTTCCTTGTGCCCCTTTCCCAGGACAGAGAAGGCTCCAGCGCTGGGAAGCAGTTCCCTGGCAGGCGAAGCTGTGGCTCCAAATGTGGCACCCCAAGGAGACGATAGTGGCCGTGGAGCCATAGGAAAGGAAGCAAAAGACAAATGGGTGAGAGGTCCTGGGAGCATGGTGAGCACTGCCTTCCTCCAGGCATCTCCAGCACCTCTGCCTCAGGAAGACAGGGGAGCTTATGGGAAGTTTGGAAGTTGGGCAGAGCCCAAGCTGAGCATGCATGTGACCCGGCTCCACTGCTTACAGGAGATGATAAGTGCCAAGCCCAGGGCAAAGCAATGTGTGCTTTGGGCTGGCAAAGGAGGAATGGGAGCCTTTGTGCCATAGGTGCTGAAGGACATGCCGGGGAAGATGGTGGAGCACAGGACAGGCAAGGAGAGCAGCCCTGGCTCCCCAGCGGCAGGGCAGCCTCTTCATGGTGGGGACAGCAAAAGGTACCAGCTCATGGAGGTGGCTGTGGAGAGTGAGATGTCGTTGAAGGGGATGGGGATCCCCTGTGCGAGGGGGGACCTTGCAGTCCTGACTAACCCTCTCTCTGCAGAAGGAGAAGAGAGGCAGAGTCTGAGTGGGGGATACAGCAGCCAGACGCCCGGGTACAGGACGTCTGTCGGGCAGCGAACACGGTAATGTCTCCCCAAGAGCCCCTTTTGCTCCCAGCCCAACCAAGCGAACCAGTGTCGAGGGGGACCCCCTTCCCAACCCCCTCCCACTGCTTATGGGCATGCATGTTTGTGCACTCACACCCGTCCCTGGTCTGGGCACTAATGCACCATGTCTCCCGGCTCCTCAGCAGACTGTGTCCCTGCCAAAGGATAGCATGGGTCCTGGAGTCCCCCCGTGTCCAGCAGAGGATGTTGAGAGCCTGGAGGCAGCACAGACGCAGCGGGATCCCCTGGACCTCGGCACCAGGGCTGTGCTCCAGGTGAGCCCCCTCGAGTGTGGGGTGAAGGGGTACACAAGGTAGGGCCTATCCTAACCACCCTCCCTACCTCCCAGGGGGGGCCGATGCTGATGGGGCCCACGGGGAGCCCACAGGTAGAGACCATGCTGCGGGAGCTGGGGGAGCTGTGGGAGGACCTGCAGAGGAAGCACCAGGAGAACGGCGCTGTGCTGCGGGAAATTGATAAGGTACATGGAAGCAGGGCTGGGGTGGGAACAGGGGCATGCCCTGATCGCAGCAGCTTGCTGGGTATCGACAAGTGAGGCTGGTGCCCACAGGGATGGGAGCTGCAGTATTGGCAGCGGCATCTCCGGCTGGCCTCATTGCTCCAACCGTGCTGCCCAAGCGGCCAGTACCCCAGGTACCCACAGTCTGGTGGCAGCATGTCTCCTGCCTCCCCTGGGTGGCTCAGAGCTGGGCTGATAGGCTCCCTGCCGTCCCCACAGTCACTGAAGCTGGTGGGGGAGCTGGACCGGGCCGAGCGGTGGCTGCAGTCTGTGGCTGGGTCACTCTTGGAGCCAGCCGCCATGAGAAGCCCGGTGGAGCTGCGGCAGGACCTGGAGGAGACGGGCCAGCTGGAGAGGCAGCTGGTGCTGTGCGGCCTCAAGCTCCAGGCACTGCGGGAGGAGGCAGCGGGCAAGCCACCTGCCGAGCATGAGGGAGCAAGGAAGATGCAGAGGAAGGTGGAGATGGTGGAGGAGAAGTGAGTCCAGGGGGAAGGTTCCTCCTCTTTGATCCCCGGGTGATCTGGGAGGAGGGTGCTCGCCCCAAGGGGGTGAAGAGGCTGCTGGCACCTTTGACAGGCACCTGTCTGCACAGGTTGGCACACGTGCAGGCAGCCTTGCGGCGCCGGGCAGCAGACCTGCGTGACTCCCTAGTGCTGTCTGAGTTCCTGCAGGACTTGCAAGAGGAGGAGGCACGGAGCCAGCAGGAACCTGCAGTGGTGAGCAGCGGGGCCAGGCATCCCTTGAGATCACCAAGCACCTGGGACTGGCCCAGAGTTGGTCTGTGGCTGCAGGGAGACCCCATGGGTGCCCCACTCTGGCCCAGCTGCCTGGGGGGTCACTACACATCTCCCTCATGCCCAGTGTTTCTGTTGGCTTCAGCCAGGGAGCAGCCATTGCAGCTTGCAGGGGTCTTTTCCCCTGCTCTCAGCCCAGGCCGGGCAGCTGCTGAGCAGCGAGGACATGAGCCACCCTTTGGGAGAGCTGCAGGAGGCCGTGGAGATGCTGAACGATGCAGTGAAGGAGAGGGAACGGGTCATGGAGGTGGCTGCAGAGACAGAGAGCCTGGAGCGCCTGGTAAGGGATTGAGGTGGTGTGTCTAGAGATGCAGTTGGGTGGTCCACCTGCAGCTGGACATGTGACTAGTTGGGACACGGAATGCACCTCGGCTAGTCCCACTGGGACATGGGGGTGTTGAGATATACAGGGACCGCTGTGTGAGGCTGGTGTCCCTCCTGTGGCTGGTGCTCCCTGCCCTTTTGCAGGTACATAGCAGGGTGCCCCCAGGCTGGGGTGGGCTGAGGCTGCGTGGTGAGTGGTGGTGGAGGGGGTCCCACACCAGGGCTCATCTCTTTTCCTCCACCCCTTCCATCCAGGTGGCAGAGGTGTCCCCACGCCTGGAGGCCCTTCGATGCAGAGCCGAGGCTCTGGCTAGAGACACTGCCCAAGCAGAAAGTGGCTTCACCACAGTGAAGAGCGAGAAGGACCTCCAGGGGCTGCAGGGCTTGCTAAACCGGCAGCAGGAGATGGAGGTGAGACCTGAGGAGCACCGTGGCTAGCCATGCCCGTGGTGGGGATGTGTCCCAGCTGGCTGGGGCCATCCTGGGGAGGCGTTGGCCCCAGGGGCCCAGGTGTCGTAAGCCTTGGCATACTGCGGCAGGCTGGGCTGGAATTTTCCAGCGGAGCTGAGCCCTGCCCCACTCCACTCCCCTCTGCCAGGCAAGGCGAGGGGAGGGAACTTGCATCAGGTCCCGTGTGCCAGCGCCTGGCTGCCAGCACCCGGCTGCCAGCACCTCGCTCATCTTCCCGCCAGTGGGGAGGTGACTCATGCGAGCAGAGCGGGGAAACCAAGCAGCCTTTCGCTCTGCCCATCCTCCCCGCTGAGGGTGGCTCTGCCTGCTCCCTGCAGCCCCTGTGCCAGCATGCTCCCCTCCACGCTCTCCTCCACCCTCCCCTCCATCCTCCCATCCATCCCTGCATCCCAGAACAGAGGGGAGTCCAGCCTGTGTGCAGAGGGGTTGGAGGCAACCTGAACCTTTTCTACCTTGTGATCTTTAGCGTGCAGTGTCAGAGACCCTGCAGGGGCAGCTGGAGGAGCTGGAGAGGGCAGCTGCCCGCTTGCAAGAGCTCTGCCCTGCTCGGCTGTGTCCCGTCAGCCAGGAGGTGCAGGGGACGTTGCAGGCCTGGGCAGGGCTGCAGGACTTGCTGCGGGAGACCCGGGTCCATGTGCAGCAGGCCAGCCAGCTGCGGCACTTCTTCAAGGATTACTTAGCCATGATGTAAGTGGCAATGAGCTGTTGGGGCTGTCTCTGTGGTGGTTGGGAGGGAGCTGGTGAGAGCATGACGTTGCCGGAGCATGGGCTGCTGGCAAGTACATGGGCAGAGTCAGTGCTGCAGCCAGGCAAGACTATGGGGAACCTGGAATGAAGAGCTGTGCCAGGGCTGCCTGCTGTGGTGCAGCCCCACAGCAACTTGCCCTATGTCACCAGACTTGCTGTGATACCCCAGTGAGCTGCTTCCAGCCATCCCTGAGCATGGGAATGGCTTCCCTGGGGCCGGAAGGGCTGAGGAGGTGGTAGGTTGTTCCTCAGCCTGTCTTTCATGTGCCTACAGCTCCTGGACGGAGGACACACGGGCTCAGATCTTCTCTGAAAGTCCAAGCAGCCATGGCCTCTTGGAGACTCCGTGTGAGGAGCTGGAGAGGAGGATTGAAGGGAAGATCAAGGAATTTGAGGCACTGGCAGCATCGGGGAAGCAGCTGGTGTCTGAGGAGCACTACCTGAGCGCAACAGTAAGGACAGAAGAAATAGGGTTGGGGAAACCCTCGGCACCCTCCAAAATCCTCTGGGGACAGTCCCAGGACGAGAAGCAAGGTGTGGGTGAAGAGCCCCAGTGAGTGGTACAGGGCTGGCCATGCATCCCCAGGGCAGCTCAGGGCAGGAAGGGGTTTCACTCAGCCATTAATGGATGCTGAGATCTGAGATGACATGACAGACGGTATCCTGCTGCCAAAAATCTCCTAAATTGCTCCATAGTGAGGTAGGGCCAGTATCCCTGGGCCAGGAGTCCTTGCAAGCTGTCCAGCATCTCTCCTCCTCTTAGATAAAGGAGCGCTTGGAGGAGCTACAGAGCATGCTGGGCTGGGTGCTGGTGCGCTGGAGAGCACAGAGGCACCAGCGGGACCCAAGGAGCAAGCAGGAGGACAGAAGGGTCCTGGAGAGCCCATCAGACACGTCCTCCACTGGCCAAGTGAGTACCCAGCCCCATTGAGACTGTTGGGGAGCAGGACCAGCCTCAAGGCTGAGGGTCACAGAGGCAGTAGACAGAGTGGGTGGTGCAGAAGTGGGGAGGGATGTGTGGCAATACCTGTGGGACTCCCTGGGGTTCAGGCAGGACAAAGTGAAGATTGTCCTGAGAAAGTGCCTGGCCCCAGCAGCCCTTCCTCCACATTCCCTCTCGCCAGGACCAGCATGCCTCATGTGCTCAGCCCCATCTGGAGAACATCCACAGCCCAGTGGAGTTCACCCCCTGCTCCCTCCTCGAGCCCATGCAAAGATCAGAGCCACAGCTGCCAGCAGGAATGGCCATGTCCTCGCCGGCATCACCCCTCTCAGATGCCCCATCGGGAGTGGAGCAGAGCTGGGGGGACCCCAGCAGCTCAACACCCCACAGTGTGGGACCTCACAAAGAGACTGTCATCTGGGATCCTGCTGAAACCTCCACGCTGCTGCTGCCACCGCGGGGCCCTGGCGGGCTGGGGGGGACAGTCAACCTCATCCTCAGTATCGGCAAGAAGGGCGAGAAGAAGAAGGTGCAACCGGTGGCTGGCAGCGAGCAGCCAGGGCAGGAGATGCTGCGGACGGTACGTAGGGGATGGTAGGCAGCTTTGGCAGAGCCATGGGTGAGCATCCAGTGCCTGTCTCAGGGCCGGCCACTGCTGTGCAGTCAGGGCAGCTCCCTGGAGCTGTGCCCTCATGCAAACTGGGAGGCTTTGAGGGCTGTAGGGTAGCCCCCATGCTGGGACCCCAGCCCCAGCCATTTCCAAAGCGATCTGTTGGGGCTCTGTCAGTCTCAGGAGAGGGACCTTTGGCTGTGCTGATGCTGAGCAATGCCCAAGGGTTGAGGACTAGCTTGCACCACCCCCTTTGCCTGCGCTCTCTTGCTGTGGCTCTTTGCCCACTCTGCCCTCAACTCTCTGTGTCTCTCTCTTCCCCCCTGCTCAGCTCCCCACCGCTAAACCCTCAGGCTGTAAAACCTTTTGGAAGCGTTGCCAGGGGCTTTTAGGAGACACTTGGGGTAGTTTAAAGCGAAAGAGAAAGCCGCCTCACCAGCCAGTGGAAGAGGTAACTTTCCTGGGGGAGGCTGCATGCCGGGCAGAGTGGCTGCATGGCGTGGACCCCCCAGCTACCAACCCTCCTAGCCATGCCACTGTGCCTTGCCAGCAGTGGTCCCTCGAGAGAGGGGAAATGCTCCCAGTGTGGTGGGCTGAGTGTGGATACTGGGACATGACAGGAAGGGGCTCAGATGGGCCCGGCCACAGTTCGGTCCCCTGAGTAAGTGGTTTTGTTGGCCATGGGAGGCACTGCAAACTAGCAGCCAGTTGGAGAGCCTCCCTGCTCTGTTGCTGGGGGACAGCAGCAGTCCCTTATGCAGCTGAGTGAAGCGGGCAAGGGTGGATGTGAGGGTGCATGTTCTGGGGGGAGCTCACTCCAGATTGCATGGCTTGTAACTCTGGGGCTGGAAGCCTGGTATTTTGTTGGAGTTTGCATGTTTGTTACTGCAGAGCCTGCACGAAGGCCTGTGTGTGATGAGTCCCAGAGGCAGTCAGGCCCCCATGCAGCCAGGCTGAGTAGCCCAAGGGGGAGGGCAGGGGGCCAGAGAGGCCAGAGGGCATCAAGGCAGGACAACGGGCTGCCGAGCTGCCAGGAGGGTTTTGGTAGTGGGCACCCTGCAATCTGAGGGGTACAGAGGGACACTGCTCCAGCTCCTGCAGGCAAAGCCCTTTGTTTTCATCCTGGCATCTGTGGAAACCCAGGAGAGAGGCTGCAGCTGGTCTGGAGAGGGTGTCTGCAGGGAAGGTGAGGGGAAGGGGCTGTGCTCAGCCCCGGCCCTTGCATTTGCCTGTTCTGCTGCCTGGGGGCATGCAGGGGTGGCAGGAATGGGCAGCAGTGACTGTTGTCTCAGTAACCACCCGAAAGTGGTGGCCTGGAGGGCAGTGGTGCTGGGGGAGAGCACAGGCAGCCCCCGCTGCACCACACCTGGGGGACTCCATCCCAGGCAGGGATTCCTCTCCCTCCTTCTTCCCTGCCTGCACTGAGGTGGGAGCAGCCCTCGGGGGCTGAGGTGAAGCCATGCCACTCCCAGTTCTGCCACTGCTGAGTGTTTTTGGCTGCCTGTGCCCCCTGGCTCCCTGATTGCCCAGTCACACCATGGAGAGGGAGCAGTCAGCGTGGGATGGTGGAGGCTCTGGCCACAGCGGTCACCCCTCTCTCCTTCTCTGTGTCCCCAGGCACAGGTGGAGGCCGGCAAAACCTCCAGCACCAAGCGGCCACCTGCCCACCGCCCTCCGGCATCCAGTGGCGGGATACCACCTGCCTCCCACACCCTGCCCAAGGCTGGGGCCGGCTCCCTCTTCAACAGTCTGCAGCGGCGCGAGCGGGCTGAGCAGGCCCGTCTGCTGACACTGCAGGGCATCATGGGCACCGGCTCCCTGCAGCCCACGCCCGAGGAGCACCATGGCCCCAGCAACACGTGGCCTCAGAAGTGTGGCCGGAGGAAGGGGGAGCCGGGGGCAGCCACGGCTGGACCCCCACTCGGGGAGTTGCTGCTCTACGTCAGAAACCCACTGGTGCGGGATATCGATGCTGAGTGCGGGGTGGCCCCTCGGGACCCCCACCTCCCTGACCTGAAAACCATGTGCCCACGCCTTTCCCTGGGCTCCGTGCTCAGCCTGGACCTACCCCAGGACACAGTGGTCCTGGGCTGCCACCGAGGGGCTGCAACATGGTGGGAAGAGGCGGAGGGGCAGGAGCAGAGGCAGGGCAGGGGGGTGAGGCCACAGGAGCCCACAGGCAAGCGTGGGGCTGGATGGCAGGAGGAGGTAGATGTGGATGGGCACAGTCCCCAGGGGCCCAGCAAGGGGCTGGGGATGTCCCCTAAAAGTGAGCAAGGAACATGGTTCGAGGAGGTGAGCTTCAACCCCAGCTACAGCCAGCAAAAGGCACACTGTGCTGGGGAGGAGCACTGGAGCTCGCAGTGCCCTGGCAGCGCTGGTAAAGACCTCCCGGACTTCAGGCCAAGCCAGCCATCCCGTGTCAGTGTACTGCATGAGAGGGTGGGGAAGGAGGGGGGCAAGCTGGTTGCCCGGCTGGGCCAGGATGGCAGCCCCAGCAGGGCCAAGCATCGTGAAGCAGCATGGCTAGAGGTCGGGCCATCCCCTGCCAGCATCCCTGTAAGGGCAGGAGCTGTTGCCACCACTGCCTGTGCACAATGGGCAGCCAGCAGTGGCCAGCCCGGAGGGTCCCTGGCTTCCCCACCCACCCCCAACCAGCGCTCTGTTTTTGAGTGGGCTCTGGGGTCCCCCCAGGCCCCCAGCCCCGTGTTGGGCTCTGGGGAGGTTTGCCACCCTGCCCACAGGCAGTTTGAGGAAGAGGAGGAGGAGCTGCAGGCCATCTGGGATGGGGTGGGCAAGCAGCGGGCACCCAGCCTGCCAGCAGGCAGCCATGCCCACCACCGGCCAGGGAGTGGGGCAGGCAGCCTGCCCAGCCCTGATGCCAGTGCCAGCGGGCCTCTCATCCTGTCGTCTGCCAACAATGTGCTAGTGGCCAAGTTCACCCTCCCCACTGCTGCCCGGCTCCTCCACAGCCCATCTGGAGAGAAGAGCCCCGGTGCGGGGCACAGCAGTGGTGGCAGCCCCAGCAGACATGAGGTGTCCCCCTGCGTGGAGGCACCAGTGTCCGCAACCCCCTTGGATGGCCCTGGCACCTGGGATCAGCAGAAGCATGGGGAAGAGGAGAGAGAGGGCAGCAAGGTGAGAGCTGCGGGCCAGGGGCTCTCCCTCAGGGTCAGGCAGGGGTCTGGGGACACCCCAGGCAGCAGCTGGGTTACCTGCTCCAGAAATGTGACCTGTGTTTGGAGACCTCCCAACTCTGGTGGCCCCTTTGCTTCAGCTGGTGGGGCAGGGAAGAGCTAGGTGATGAATTTGGGGGTCTCTGCAGCACACGTTCCCACACCAGCCCTCAGCCTTAGCAAGGCAGCACTTCACCCCAAAAGCCTACAAACAGTCCAGAACCTGCTCAGGCACAGAAAATTTTTCCTGTTGTCCCATTCCCCCCTTGGCATTGCCTGCTAGATGGGTCAGATGCTCCCTGGGTCAGATGCCTGGGGACTGAGCTGGCACCTCCAACCCCAGCACTGCTTCACTCACCCCCTGTCTCTTTGCAGGGCCCTCCTAGTAAGACGGAGTTTCAGATGATGGAGGGGACGCTGGAAAGGAAGCACGTGTTGCAGACAGGAGGGAGGAAGGTACAGGCATGGCCATGGGGCTCCTTTGGGACTGGGATTCTGGGACACATCAGGGGCATCCAGGTTTTGGGGCAGGAGTGAAGCCAGGGATGCTCCTGGCACTACAATGGCAGTGCTGCTGGCCGTGCTGGGAGGGCAGAGCCCACAGGGGCTGGGGTGCATTTTGAGTGGCAGGGGACTGCTCTTCTCCCAAACATGTTGGCATCACAGCTGTCCCTTGCTTGCATTCCACAGGCCAACTGCCGGGCCTGGAGCCTCTTTCACGCCGTACTGATGCGGCAGACACTGTGCTTCTACCAGGACCGCAGGGACAGCCTCAAGGTGCATTGGGGGAGAGCAGGGTGACCTGGGAGGGGGCTGGCAGCAGGGTAGGGGGCTGGTGGCCAGGTAGGGCAGAACCTGCCAACCCTGCTGTTGCTGTTCCCTGTGCTGCAGAGCTCTGTGGTGGCTCTTCCCCTGAACCTCTCTGGAGCAGTCTGCACCCCAGATGCCGAATACACCAAGAAGACCAACTGCTTCAGGCTTCAGTGAGTCACCCCAACCCAAGGCAGCCAGGGCATTATAGCCACAGCCCTCCCTAATGTGTCCCTGCTGGGACAAACATGTACCAGCACCCTTGCCCAGGGCCAGATCAGTCCAGTGCTTAGATGAGGATTTCCTTCTTTCTTTCTCACCTGCTTTCCTTCTTTTCCAGGCTGGTGGGGGCTGTGGTATCTGTACCCCACATCTGTCTCATTGCTGAACTGTTCTCCCACTGCAGGCTGCGGGATGGCTCTGAGTACCTCCTGAGGGCCCCCTCCCAGCCCCTCATGAATGAATGGGTCTCCAAGCTGCAGCAAAACTCAGGTGAGCATCCCTTGCTGGCAGATCAGGGGCCCAGCTATATGCAGTTACCATGGATGTGCAGTCCCTGCTGAGCCCTCTGACACATGGGGGGTTAGAAGAGAAGCAGCACAGCACTGTTTCTGATTTATGCATCTTCCTAACCTGCCTTGGGAACAGCAGTTCTCTGCAAGGCAGGATTTGGAGGCTTTGTTTTCACACCACATACACAGTTATAAATCAGGAATAGCACAACTGACGTCAGTGGAGCCTCAGCAGCAAAAATCCAGTGTCAGGAAAATTATAATTGCGCCTTGATCTTCTTCTGTCTCCTCTGTGGGACCTGGAAACCCTTTGCCTGCCCTCCAGGCAAGGAGACTTTAATACTGAGGTCTTTCTGCTGCTGTACCCTTACCCAATAGGGTTCAGGCCCCACCATGAAATCCTAGGCTGGCTGGCTGGCAGGACCAAGAGCAGGCGCTCCAGCAGGAGGTTGGAGGGGCCAGCCATGTAGCACAGGCACCCAGAGCTGGGGCTGGTTCTATGGGATGGTCTTGTGTGCTGCTGGCATGCAGCAGGATGTTTGCTGTGCCCCCAGGTTTCCCCGAAGTGGACTACTTCCAGGCGGCAGCACAGCATGTCGAGGGCACCGGCAGTGCTGGGGGGTGAGTAGCCAGGAGCCGGCTAGCCAGGTCTCATTGTCACAAATCTCTCCCATGCTTGCCATTGTGTGCTGCTTCAGCAGGGCATTGGTGGGCCAGTCTGGTTTGCTAAATATCTGCTACCTTCCAGTTTCAGCAAGGTCTCCAGCCCTGGGAGCTCCCACCTCCAGGGACATCATCAGGTTGCAACCAAGAGCCAGGAGATCGTGGTGCTACCCCGCTCAAAAGCCTGGCTGCAGCGGCCTCTGGGCAGCCAGGATGGCTCAGTCGATGAGGCTGTGGCATCAGCAGGTGACTTTCCTGCCTGACTGGGCTCCTGCTGTCCCCTGACTCCTATTCTCAACCCAGAGAGCTGCAAGGGAACCGACTGAGGGAAGCTGAAGACTATATGTCAGTCGAACTTGGTGGTGTCTGGGCCAGGAGTCCCAGGGCCCTGTGCCCAGGAATAGAGTTGGTGGAAGGGCCACTTACCTCCCTTTGCTTTCTGGCATACTGGGATAACCACGCATTTACCTGTCCTCTTTGGGGCTGACACAGGGCTGTCCTGTGGTGGCCTTGCCTCTTGACCTGTCTCCATTCTGCTTCAGAGGATGCTCCTAGGGCCGGGCACAGGCAGCAGCAGTGGTCACCCAGGGGGTCCCCCGGGATATGGGACAACAGCTGCCATGAAGACGACTACGGGTTCGTGGCCAACAAGAGGAGGTCCTACTCCTTCACCTCAGGTACGGCCTTGGTTTCGTTGTCACTGCCAGGAGGTGGCACCAGTCCACTGTCTGTCCCCACAGACACCCAAGGACAGGTGCGATGCTGCTCCAGCACCCACCAGCTCCCGCATCCTCGTGCCCTGGGCTGCAGCCTCCCACTCGAGGAGGGCTCTGGGGGGCCAGCAGCACTTGCTGGCACCCTGCCCTCCCCACTGACTGCTCCCTCTTGCAGCCACCTACCAGAAGATTGCCCCAGTGGCTGTGCCCAAGGAGTCTCTGGAAGCCGGGAGCAGCTACTCAGTCACACTCTACATTGGCGAGCAAGCACCGGCCGTGCCCCGGGCACGCTGCCACTCCTTTGTGGCCCAGCCGGGGAGCCCACGGGACACACTGGGAGAGAAGACCCCTGGCCCCCCTCGTCCCAAGAACAAATCTGTCTTCAAGAAGTTCTTCGGAAAGAAGGAGTGAGCCCCAGCCAAGTGGAAGAAAAGCCCTAGCCTGTCCTTTATTCTCCTCTTGGGTGCCATCCTGGCATGGTCTCTACACCCAGCACCAGCTCACCGCTCGCTGCCTCCCTGGGGGGTGAGAGGCTGCAGCAAGGGCTCTGCTCCAGCTGGCCCTGGGGCTGCACCGCACCCCAGCCGCTGCAGCCCCCGGCCTCAGCCTGGCGCTGAGCACCCCTCCTGCTGCCCTCCAGGTGCTGTCCCTGGGTGCTGCTGGCTCCCTAGGTGTCCTGCCGACATGCAGCACAAGCAGGGGTGGGGTGGAATGGTTGTTTTTATTAAAAAACAGTAAGATGCTTAGTCTGGGAGCTTATTCCTCCAGCAGCACCTGTCAGCACAGGAAGAGAGGGTCTCTGCAAGGTGATTCCTGCTAAGGGGTGGGGGGAGCTTCAGGTGAGGGGGGACCCTGCAGCGGGGTTTGGTCCTGTGAAGCCTTAGCTGTCTGGTGCTTCTCACAGTGATGCTTTGTCCTGTGATTTCTCTGTGCCTATCAAATCCCACAGGGCACCTGGGCCCTTTTTCCCTGCTGCAGGAGCTCAGCAGGGAAGCTGCTGCCAACAGAACAAACCCTCCTGCCTGCACAGCCCTGCCTGCCCTGCCTAGCCTTCCTCTCTCACAGGATAGCCGCTGGCCCCGGTTATGGCAGGTGGATGCTACATGCCATGGAGGGGGCCAGGGGAGTATGGCCAGACCCTTAGGGCTTCCTGCATCACAGATATTTTGCAATAACTGCACCAGGCTATGCCAGCTTCAGCTGCCCTAGGGGAAGAGGAGCTGGCCCAACCTGCCCTGAGTGTGCACTAGTGCCAGGGGGAGAAGGGGAAGTTTCCGGGGCCATAGGTACCAGGGCCTCCCTCCGTTGGGCTGTGAGGCTTGGCCACGCACACCCCTCGCCTCCTCATACACACTGTGGAGCTTAAAATAGACGTGCTGGCTGCAGCCCAGCTCTGCAGCAAGGGCTGCGAGAGGAGAAATGCTCCCACCAGCCCCTCTCCCTCCCGCAGTGTCCCCAGGTCTGGGGACAGGCACTGTAGTGGAGGTGAGCATGCTGGTGTTACTGGCAGAGGGGCTTTCTCTGTGCTCCCAGTGAGGGGTGGGAGGAAATGCCAGTGAGGGGTGCTGCCATGTGGGTGGGGGTGTGCTTCTTGTGCTCCCCCTGTGCTTTCCCACCCTCCACTTGGCTTCATCCCACTTGGCTCTGGCACCTGTTTTTCTCCAGCACTGAAGCTCAGCTGCCTGTGCTGCCTTAATGGGAAGAGTGAGAGGGATGGCAGGGCTGGGGGGGATGCCCTGGGAGGAGGCCAGCCCTGGCTGGGCCAGAGAGGAGGCCGAGGCACGGTATTCACAGCTCCAGCCGCACATACCAGGAGAGCAGCCGGTGGGTAGGCGCCAGTTCATTCCTGAGCAGCTGAGGGGCCCAGTGGAGGGAGCAGCGGGTGCAGGGTGCTCTGTTGAGGGCCTCCCTGCCAGCCCGAGGGGACCAATGCTGACCTGCAGTGGGGTGGGGGCTCAGCAAGTGTCCCACTATGGCCCGAGTCCAGCACAGCGGCATAGGGTCTCGTCTGTCACCGTAGAGGTGCCCCTATACCAGGGACGATGCTGGCACTTGGGGCACCGCTCTCAGTGCCCAGGGCTGTCCCCCTTGCACTGGCTGCATTGTGTGTGTGTGTCCCCCCCCCCGTGGCAGCTGCCCGATCGCAGCCTCCCCTCTCCCCTTCCCCGCGCTGGCGCTCGGCCCCGCTGCAACCCACTGACGAATCCCGCTTGCAGTTCCTATGGCAGAAGCCACTTCCCCCCCGCTAATCCGCCCGTGCATGCAGCCTCCACCTGCTGAGCCAGCGGGAGCCGTGTTCAGCCGGCCCCAGCCAGCGTCGGGGCTCTGAAACCCGCTCCGGCTGCAGAGCCCGCCAGGCAGTGGAGCCTCCACACCCCAGTCCCGCCGCTGCAGAAAACCTTGACCCCACTTGGCATCAGGCAGCGAGGAGGCTGCAGGCAGCATCGTCTGGCACTAGGATTGCTGAGCCCTCGAGGTAAGGGCAGGGTGCAGGCAGGGGGGTGAGCAGAGCGAGCGCTGTCCCTGCTGTCTCTTGTTCCTCTGGGTGTCAGGGAGGGGGGGCTGGCTCCAAGCCCCGCTCTGCCGAGCCAAGGAGTTCTCCCCCATTTTGACTGCACGGCAGCGCTGCTGCAAGGTCACCCTGCAGCCAGGTGCCTGTGCTGAGCTCCCAGAGCCTCGGGGGACAGAGGTCTGGGACCCCGACTGGGACCTGGGACTTGCCAGTGAGGTGGCTGCAAGGAGGGTGTGGAGCCTGGCCCTGCTGCAGGCGGGGAGTGAAAGCGGGGAGCTGCTGGCACCCTGCCCTCCTTGCCTGGGCAAACTTGTGGCACAGCGATACCCCCCTCCCAGGGCAGAGCCCCCCGGGGCAGTATTTCCAGGAGGATGCAGGGGCAGGAGGGCCAGCCATCTGCTCTAGGATGAAGGGTGTCACTGGGAAAAGCCAGAGCACGGGGATGTCAGGGCTGTGGCAGCAGGGTGATCCCAGCAGTATCCCTCTGGCAGCTGCGGGTGCTGCAGCTGGGGGGACTGAAGCAGAGCGGGGTGCAAGGCAGGGTTAGGCAGGGGTGGGAGCACAGGGTTGCAGTCCGGCCGGCCCTGGACTGGGGCTGAGGGCTGTCCTGCACCCGTCTACGCTGTGTCCTTGACGTGGCAGGCAGTGCACTAGGACCTGGCGAGCCCTGGGCAGGCATTGCTGGCAGCGCTCTGCCTGAACAGTGTGGGATCTTGCCTTGTCAGCCGGCAGCACCGTGGGAAGGAGCCTGCCAGCTCCGGAAAAAAACATGTAAGCAAGCGTGGCTGTGCCCCTGGCCACCCCGGGCCAGGCAGGATCTCCCTGCGCTGCGTCCCACGGGCAGGGACACGCTGGCCGGAGGGCTGGGGACTGCCGCCGCAGGTTGTAAACAGGGCACGGGGTTAAGGGCCGGTGCCTGCTGCCACGGGAGTGAGTGGGTGCTGGGCAGAGCAAGGACCCTGGCAGCAGTGCTGGCAGCACTCCGGGGAAGCCCTGGCACACGTCCCACAGCAGCGTAAGGCAGCCAGGGTTGGGGTGCTGAGGGGGGTGGCAGGCATTCGGCAGGTGCTTTCACCCCGACGTGCTCAACCCTGCACTCCTTCCTGCCTGTACTGGGTGCTGCTGCCTTCCCCTCCCTCTTTGGCACCTCGCACGGGGCTGGGCAGGGGACCTGTCCGTGGAGATGTGGGTGGCACCAGGACAGTTCCATGGTGCACCAAATGCCTGTCCCCCAACCCCCAGCACCAGCCAGCTGTGTATGGTGTTTGGCTAGCCTGCCCGTGGGGATGTCACACCAGGACTGGCACAGCCACTTCTTCCTGGGCCCTGCCACCTTCTTTTATCAGTCCCAGCCCTCCCTGAGGGCTGGCTACCTCCCTGCCCTTCCAAGTCCTGTATGTTCCTGTATGGCCCCAGGGGTGCCTGCACTTCAGAGGAACCCACCAAGGAGCCCTCCCTGTTCCTGGAGGCCCTGGGGCTGTGCCACCCCTTGTCTCCCTGCCAGGGCTTCTTCTGCAGCCCCATCCACCTCTCGCAGGCCCTTTGTCCCCATAGCCAAGCACTCTCTCATGACCCTTTCTATTTGTAGGCTGACCACTGGGAGCTGGGAGCCCGCCCTCTGCCCTTGCACCATTCCCCATGCAGCTCCTTCCTCCCCAACCGCTTTGTCCCCAGCTGCCCTCGGCGTGATTTGGCCCAGTGCAGAGGTCCTGGCTGTCCCCGGCGTTCAAGCCTTAGCCAGAGGCTTGTTTGCAGGAGCCTGACCTGCAGGGGAAAGACGAAGATACAGGCAGTGTAGGGTTCATGGCACGGCCCTTGCCCTGCATCCATGGTGCCTCTCAAGGTCAGGGCACTGCTCTGCTGCCCTGGTAAAAGTCTCATGTGAGAGGTGATAAAAGAGGGTCACTGCCACTGCTTGCTGTCCCTATCCCTCCTGTGCCCCAGTGCTACCTTGGGAAGGGAGCAGGCGCTGTAGGGGCTGCAATGGATGGGGAAAGGTAGGGAGCAAGGGAAGCTGGCATGGCTGGGGGCTAGGAGACAGTGAAACTCATATGTCACGGTTTTGCAGTCCCATTCAGGAAAGATGATGGAGGACACGGTGGAGGAGCATGGCCACGTGCTGCTGATGACTTGCTTGAGCTGTGCCGGCTGTTGCATGCACAGATATATAAGGAGCCCCCGCTCCCTGCCAGGAGCAGCTGGAGCGGCCCCAAAGGCGAGCTGGGCAGCACTGGGAGCAACAGAACAGGGGATGCAGGCAGCAGCAGCAGAGCAGCCTGTCCTGCATCAGAGTGGGCAGCCCTGACCTGAGCTACAGGTAGCAACAAGATGCTCCAGGGCTTGCTGGGAGGTCAGGCTTTTGTGGAGTTCTTTTACTTGTCAATAAGCAATATGCCTGGCTTTTTGCAGGGATCCCAGCACCTCCATAAGTGCAGCTAAAAAGTAGGGCCAGCAGCAGCACTGCACGCACTGTGCAGCAGCTCAGCCTTGCTGCGAAGCTTCCAGGCTCCGCCATCCCTGGACACAGCGCTAGCAAAAGCCAGGGTGAGGCTTTTCCACCCACCTTCACTTGCTGGAGATGGCAGGTCCTGTGAGGAGAGTGGAGAACGCAGGGAGTGAAGGGGGATCTTTGTGGGAAGCCAGCTACTGCTGTTGTCAGGGCTGAATTTTCCCTTCTGATTTGCCAGAAAGGAGATTTACTGGGTCTGGGTCACAGTGTTAGCAGAGCAGGCTGTCTCCCCGGATACTTTCTGTGAATCCCAATCAGCTGAGGATGGACGTGTCGAGTCAGCCTCAGGCCATGAGCCCCTTCGGAGGCAGTGCCAGGAGCCCCAGGAGCCTCCTTTGTCCTTGAGGCACTTGGCAGTGGCACAAGGGTGCTCCTGGGTGCCTTATAGCCTGGGGCTGTGGAGAGAAGCAGGCAAGCTGCCTTCTGAGAAGAGAGCTACTCCAAGAGGTGCACCTTGTGCTTTTCCCCATCCTATCCCACCCCATCCTACCCCTGTGAGACTCTGGACGCTCAGAGGACCAGGCAGGACCCCTTTCTCTGTGGCCTGCAGTTGAGCTGCAAGCACAGCCCCACAGGAGAGATATTGTGCTCAGGGTAAGTGTCACTGTGTTGTGTCCTCATGTCGTCCATCCTGGGTGACGGCAGGACCCGGAAATCTGCTTCCTAACACGACCCTCACCCCTCTGCATGGTATGTTACCTACAGGCAAAAGC